ACGTTCTACTAGACCTGCCATGACGGCATTTTTCCCCACTGTCCCCAACTGGATTCAAGATGCAAAGCAGGAGGAGGAGGAGACAGGCTGGAAAATAGTCCCCAGGCCAAGAGGGGAAGAGACCGCAAGTCAGGGAAAATGCCAGTGTGAAATATCAGAGACCTCCTTCCCTAACGTGGACAAGCTGAGAGCTCACACGCTCTCTCACGCTGAGCAGAGACCGTACAACTGTCCTCAGCTGCACTGTGGCAAGGCCTTTGCTTCTAAGTACAAGCTGTACAGGTAGGTAACGGCTGGTGCCTCTGCAGAGCAGCTCTGCCTGCTCCGGGTGGGGAAAACCCCTCCTGATGGGTTTTCATGTAATTTCTGAGAAGGTGGAGGAGGGGGAATGCCCTTGTTACCCAGCAAAGCAGCCGAGTGCCAGACATTACCATACTTGGCATCTGCGTAAGCCCCTTCTAGAAGGCCTCAGATAACATTTTATCCTGAGCTCAGGATATTTTCTGTATTACTAAGAAGGAAATTGAAGTATAAAGTGAAAAACAACCTGAAAAGCAAGAATAGCACTCAGATTACGTAGGTCCTGCCTTTGTAACCTTAATCACAGGAACATTTCCATGGCAACTATTGCTCTAGCATAAAGAAGTAGAGCTTCCATTTGTGTATTGAAATATACGGTAGAAAAATATATTCTAAGATGATTAGGAATGTGAAGACTGGATGAGCCACGGTTTCATAGATTAAAAGGTATCAAGGCGGGATCAGTCTCAGTGGTAGTCAACAGACATTGCCACAACCTGATGTCTCTCGATGAAATGAGGTGGTCTCACCCGTGGACGAGCATTTCTCGTCATAAACGACCAGGGTTCTCTTTGTCATTTCCCCTTGTGGCAGTTTCAGCAGAGAGAACAGCAGCTCGTAGATGCCTGGAGCGCTCGGGGCAGGGGTGACACGTTCTGGGCAGGGCAGGCACCACTCGGACTCGTGGCTGTTGTGGGACACGTTGTGCTCCCGGGCCTGGGCAGTCCCCACTGCCTGGCTTGGCTGTGCAGCAGCTTTTTAGTCACACTCCAGTTCCAGCTGGGGGTTTGGTGCCCTTAAGTGCAGAGCCCAGTGGAATCTTGAGAAAGCAGCGTGTGTTCTCCAGGGGGCTGGACTCTGGGCTAAACTCTCCCGCTTCCTCCCAAAAGGCACATGGCCACGCACTCTGCCCAGAAGCCTCATCAGTGCATGTACTGCGAGAAGATGTTCCACCGCAAAGACCACCTGCGCAACCACCTGCAGACCCACGACCCCAACAAGGAGGCCCTGCACTGTCCCGAGTGCGGCAAGAACTACAACACGAAGCTGGGCTTCAGGCGGCACCTGGCCATGCACGCGGCCGCCAGCGGCGACCTCAGCTGCAAGGTTTGCCTGCAGACCTTCGAAAGCACCCAGGTCCTGCTGGAGCACCTCAAGGCTCATTCCCGGCGCGCCTCCGGCGGGGCCAAGGAGAAGAAGCACCCGTGCGACCACTGCGACCGGCGCTTCTACACGCGCAAGGACGTGCGGAGACACTTGGTGGTGCACACGGGGCGGAAGGACTTCCTGTGCCAGTACTGCGCCCAGCGGTTCGGACGCAAGGACCACCTCACCCGGCACATGAAGAAGAGCCACTCGCAGGAGCTGCTCAAGATCAAGACGGAGCCTGTGGACATGTTGGGTCTCCTCAGCTGCGGCTCCTCTGTAGCCGTGAAGGAGGAGTTGAGTCCGGTCCTGTGTATGGCATCCAGAGACATGATGGGTGGTAAGAGCTTCCCTGGCATGTTGCCCGTGGGCATGTACGGCACACACCTGCAAACCATGCCCAGCTCAGGGATGCCCCATTCTTTGGTTCCTAACTCTCTTCCCATGGGAATGAGCTATCCTCTGGAGTCTTCTTCTCCCATCTCCTCCCCACCGCAACCTCCTCCAAAGTATCAGCTTGGATCTACCTCATATTTGCCTGAGAAACTACCCAAAGTCGAGGTGGACAGCTTCCTGTCAGACTTCCCTGGCAGCCTGTCTCTCTCAGCTGGTGAGCCTCAGTCCTCTTCGCCTCAGCCGCCCGCTCTGGATGAGGCTCTGCTTTCCAAGAGCCCCGCTAACCTTTCCGAGGCTCTCTGTGCTGCTAACATGGACTTCTCTCATCTTCTCGGCTTCCTCCCCCTAAATCTTCCTCCTTGCAATCCGCCCGTGTCTTCAGGGGGATTGGTCATGGGCTACTCGCAGGGGGAGACACAGCCACTGCTTTCCACTTTGCAACATCAACCTCAAGAAGCTCCTGGAACTGGGGCCTCACTGAACTTTGGTCCCCTTCATTCATTGCCCCCCGTTTTCACCTCCAGCCTGAGCACAACCACACTGCCACGTTTCCACCAGGCATTCCAATAAGCTGAAAAGTAGCACTGGAGAACAGATCTTTCAGCCACCTTTTGTGGAGAGCCTTAAAAACGCACAACTCCTCCTTCCCTCGGGGCGCGAGAGCTCTCCCCGCTGATCCGCACGGGAGGTTTCTGAGCGCTGCAGGGAGCACTTGTAGACTGGAACAGCAGATACCCCCGGGCAAGTCCCAGTCCTGTACAGTGAAAAGATTTCAGCTAATAGACTGGATATATTTTATCTAATTTTTAATCTGTGAATCAAGAGCCACACTTAGCACTGACCTTCCCGGGATGCTGGAGCTGTGTTCCCCTCGGGTAAGGGCCTGACCCTGAGAAGGAGTTGAGACTCTTCCACCTTGGGCTAAGCTTGTGAAGAGTCCAACTTCCATTTCATGCTGTATCACACTGCAATTCTGGCAAAATAATGGAAACCTCCCCACGGAGGAGAGGGAGGAGGAAGGACACGGCTCTGTACGAAGCGTCGGGGAGGAGGCCGCCCTTCCCCGCTACCTCTCGTCCTCTCGCCCAGCGCAGCTAACTCCCCCCGTACCGCCTACTCCACATCAGTGTTAAGGAGCTAGACCGTTTACGCAGCAAATTCAGACACAGCACCTCGTTTTTCTTTACGGAGCCATTAGGTTAAACTCATTACAGTGAACATTGTTTACACAACACAAATCTGTTCCCACCCCTACAAAAATAGGAGGCACCAGAATACACTGGTTTTCTATCTGGTGTGGCTAGAACACTGTTTACACAATGAAGTCAGGTTGCACTGATTTCTTTCTCTTCACTTTCACATTCTTCCCCCATGGGGAAATACACTGCTTTTTTTGGACCGTTTCAGCCCTGCCGCTGTTTTTGGCAGTTTCTTGCATATTCCCTGCCGGGACGAGGAGAGACCCCAGCGCCGCGTCGGGAGCCGCAGCGGAGCGCGAGCTGCCAGGGCTGCTCCTTTGCACCGTGCAGTGAGGTCAGTACCGTTCGGCTAAGCTCAGGAGGTTCATTTTAACCTCCGTTCTAGGCTGATGACATCCAGGAATCAGGAGAAAATAATTGGTGCCAGGTTCACTTACACTTTGCCGCTGTATTTGAAACGTTTTCCCCAACACTAATAGTTCTAACAAAAGCGGAGGGCTTGGACCCGCAGTTGCCTTTTCACTCAAGATTTGGGGCCCCAGGCCTTTCTGTTCTCTCTTTCTCAAGCTTTGCCTCCCGAGCTGAAATTTCTGCCTCCCTCGCTCCCTGGGCCCCCTCTTCAGTTCTCTCGTGGGTTTTAAGGGGTGTTTTACCCACCGAGCGCCGGAGCAGGAGGTGGCCCGAGCTGCTCGTGCCGTTTAGCACCTGCTGAAATTGCTGCCTCCCTTTCCTGGGCACTTGTACTCAAGGCAGTAGCATGGAGGTCAATGTTGCTGTGCCTTCGTGCACGTTTGCGAGCACAGGCACGCAGATACTCATACCTCAGCACAGAGGAATCAGCATAGGCCAATATAAACCAGGAAATCTATCAATATTGTTCTCCATAAATGCAGAAAATGCAAAGTCTACCTCTACTCTGTTATCTCAGCTCCTTCGGTGAAGCCGGAGACCGTCGTCCCTCCTCCCCGCAGCCGCATCCCGTCGGGTTTCCGCGTCCTCCTGCCATGCCGGCGGCCCCGCGGCGCGACGGCCGCTGCGGCTCTTCACGCGCTTGTCCCCCCCTTCCGTTTTACTCGAGAAGTTTATTTTTAATTTAGCTTAGTGATTCTTCCCAGAATGACTATTTAGTGATCCATTGATTCTCCAAAACATAGATCAGTTGTTTTAGGTTAGCCAGCAATGCTGCAAATAATACTTTTGTATCAAAATGTAATATAAGATTTATTTACCTCAACAATATCCTGTGGCAATGAGCTCCCCGAGTTGAATGCAGTACTTCCTTTGCTCCACTTCCAGCGTTGCCTTTCCAAGCCCAACGAGTGCCTTGTTCTCTACACAGGACAGGTAAGCAGGGCACCTCAGCTCGTCTCCTGCTTGCCACCACTGAATACCTCAATCTAGTGCTTTTCTCTTTGCAAAGTAAAGAGCTTCCCCATGTCATCGCGTTTGCCAGCCTTACCCATCTTGAGCTGAGAGATTTCTTTTTTTTTTTTTTGGTGTTTTTGAGAAATAAGTGGTCAGAACCGATCGCTTCCAGCAGATGAAGATGTGTGGGATTTATGCAATGCCATCCTACATCTTTCCCTTCCTTTCCACAACATTCAGCTTTCTCGCGTTGTGCCCGCGTTGTACTCTGACCGGCTGTCACCATTGGAATTTCTTTAGCAGCGGTAGCTAAATGTAGAGCCAGACATCTCTTCCCTCCCAGTAGCCTGTCAAAGAATAAACGGAATTCAGTTCACTACCACTTGCACGTGTGATTTGCTTTCCGCAGCCGTTCTCCCGAGCAGGCTGTGGGCGCAGTCGGGAATTCAAGGATTGCTCCAAGCAGGGCCGGCAGCTCCGCGGGTGCCTGTGGGCACCAGCCCCGAGCCCCACATGGGCCTGGGCTTTGTGGGTGTTTCCCAGCCAGTCTAGAACTAGTGAGACTGCCTCAGTGCCCAGCACCGAGCACTTCACTCGCACAAGAGGTTATTTTGGGTGGTTACTGGAAAGTTTTGGCTAGTTCGTACGAGAACGTTTTGAAGGAGCTGCACCCTTCAGAATCCATTAGGAAATGCGCACTGAACTTCAATAAATTATTATAAAAGGATTATAAATCATCTGAGACAAGTCCTTGCTCATGCAATTGCAGATGAAGGATAATGTTAAACTTATTGTGTTGTGAGAATGATGCTTAACAGTCTGAAAAGCTGTGTATGTTTGTGACACTTGTGCACAAGGCAGCAGCATCCCCTTACGCTTGTTATGGGATGGAAAAAGGAAGTAGTTTTGTCACAGAAGGGGCCTAAAAACACCAAAAATACCTGAAAGAGCAAGGCTTTCTGTCATGAGATGAAGACAGGGGGACCGTAGTGAGCAGTGGGTGAAGGTGACAGCGCTCTTCAAACAGAGACCCAAGGCCCGGGGCCGGTATCTTTTCCCCATCCTCCCAAGACAGGGATTGACCATCCGGAGCCCTCAGCAGGGTCCCGGCGACACCGTCCGTGTGAGCCCTGGCCCGGCCCCCCTCCCAGCCGCGGCCTCCGCTGGGCTCCCCTGCGCTGTGTCCCGCTGCCAGGGCACCTGCGCTTCCCAGGTGGATATCCGGCATTTCCAGGAATCCTTCCTGGTGCCGCCGCGGCCGGTGGTTGCACCCACCTGGAGAGGTCGCAGCTCCCGCCCAGGCGCTTCCAGAGCGGCCTCCTCCGCGCAGCCCTTGGAGCGGCCTCCGCCGAGGCCTCCGGAGCTCCAGGGAGGCCCCTCAGGCAGGAAACCTTCCACGTGGCCACCAAAATCGGGCGCAGGAAGAGCCGCTGCTCTCGCAGTGCTGCTGCATCCCCCCTGACCGAGGCTGTTCAACCAAAGAGGAGGACGGGGCTGCCGGCCGGGCAGGGAGCTCTGGGCAGCCCCGCTCCGGAACCGCTGCTGGAGGAAGAGCCACGGGCGGCTCCGCAGCCGGGCCCGAGTCCCACGGGCGCCGCTCCGGGGAGCGGGGCCGGATGGGGCTCACGCTCAAGGCCAAACCTGGGGTTAAACCTTGCCTTTTTAAAAAAAAAAAAAAAAAATCTAAAAACAAACCTAGCACTTTTACACACAGCAAATAACCTCTTTTAATGAGATACTCGGGGCGGGGGGCTTTATAAGAAGTTTTCTAAACTGTAAAAAACTCAAGTGCCATTAGGAAATACACAGTTCGTCTCTAGGTTTTTTTGCATTGCTTTACAAAATGGAGTTCAAATTGAAAGCATTTTTTACAAAGTTGTTTAATAAAAAGCATTTGAATTATCTGCCCCAAGTGTCTTCTTGCGGGGGGGACACGATTGTTTTAAATAAACGCAGAAGGGAATCAGGGACCCCCTTCCCCACTGCTTCTGCGAGGGAAAGTGGCTGCATTGCCCGGGGTAGCCCCAGGGCCCCCCAGGCCTGGGGAGGGGGCGCAGGGACAGCGCCGCCCCGTTGTCACCTGCCAGTGACGATGCTCCATCCCCGCGTGCTCCGCAAGCCAGAGCGCGCGGTTCTCCTGTGAGAAGGGGCTGCCTGAGCAGCCTCCTCCACAACCCGTGACACGAGAAGCAAAGTGCCACTTGGTTGGTGGCATCTTAATTACAGCACATGGCCATGCCCAGGACATGCCACCCACCGGGAAAGCCAACTGCATCCCTCAGTGACGGCCACTGGGGAAAACGGGTCCGTGGGGACCCCGGGCTGCTTCTAACCGCAGTGACGGGGCAAGGAGCACGCGGGCGCTCAAAACCCGAGGCAGTTATGTGAGAACTCACCAAAGGCGGCTGGAGAGACCCCGGGAGAGCAGGACAACAGGACAATGGCAGATTTATTTACAGTAGGACACAAAGAATACATACATTAATTAAAAATTACAAAGAATACAGAGAAAACACTCCGGGGAGAGAGAGCAATGCTGGAACCCCTCCATGGAGCAGCGAGGAGAGGGGGGGAAAAAAAAAAAATCTCAAGACTGGGAATCAGAACTAGCGGAGGACTCCACAGCACAGCCGGCTCCTGCATCTACGCTCCCTTTTCCATCCCTGATGATTGAATTTTGGCACGATGGGCGGCTGATGGCCTTATGGGGCAAGACCGTATAGACCCGATGCAGAGCAGGACCCGATCCCCATCGGGGACAGCTCCCTGCAGGAAGCAAAGGCCACCAGGAGCCACCTGGGTCCTTCTCAGGCCCGGGGGGCTCTCCCAGACTTGGGTAAAAGGCAGCCCCCAACCCCTGCCACGGGCATCCACCATGGGACGAGCTGCCCACGGCGGCTCCTGGAGACCTTCCTTCTCATATGGGAAAACACAAGAGCAAAAACTCTCCCCTGGAGCTCCAAATCCAGCCAATCTGGGGATGGAGGGAGCCTTCACTGCAACGTGGAACCTTTTTTTACCGGTAAACATCATTCAAGTGACCAAAATAAAACTTGAACCTCATTTAAAAGCAACTTCCCACGTGCCATTTCAGACAT